ACAAGAAGAAAAGGGCATGCACGTGAGACACCTAGATGTTAAAACTGCTTTCCTATATGAAGACATTAAGGAAGATCTCTACATGGAGCAACCACCAGGGTTTGAGCAAAGACACAACCTTGTGTGTAAACTACAAAAGAGCATCTACGGATTCAAGCAATCTGCAAGAATGTGGAATGAGAAAGTGAATGAAATACTCACGAAAGAGGTGTTTACGAGAATCAAAGCAGATCTCTGTCTTTATTCCAGGAATCAAGAAGACAGATGGACGTACATCCTAATTTATGTTGATGTACTGTATGTACTGTATATAACCTGTTTTGAACAAGAAGGGGACTATAGTAAAAATAGTAAGAATAGTAAATATAGTAAACAAACTAAAACAAAACTTTGAGATTAAAGAGCTACATCAGTCACTATCTGGAAAATTAAATAGAGAGAGAAGAAGATGGAAGCTATCTTCTCAACCAAAGTCAGACAATTGCAGACATTTTGGAACAATTCCACATGCAAAGGAAGTAAAAACACCTTTGGAACCAGGCTACCAAAAGATCAATGAAGCAGAAAACTTGCTACACAAAAATGACATATACCGCAGAGCAATCGGAAAGCTACAATACATTGCCACTGTGACACGACCAGACATAGCGGCAGCATTCGGCATACTTGCTAGAAAAGTCGCAGCACCCTGTCAGCGTGACTGGAATACAGTAAAGAGGGTAATACAATACTTAAAAGGAACGACTGTCAGCAGCATCAAATCCAAAACTAGTTGCAGATGCTGATTGGGCCTGGAGACTGCACAGAATGCAAATCCACAAGTGGTTACATCTTCCAATACGGGGAGATCTGGATATATTTGCCTAATATCTTGGAGGAATTGCTTGCTGCTCATTGAAATACTGAAATAGTGCTCCTTTTTTTTTGGAATTATTGTAATCATATGTCTTATTAGTTTGATGAGTGGATTTTTTCATTTTTTACACGAACACTGTGGATGATTTTGTCACTTTCTATATGGACATCTATGAGTTTTTGTTATTATTATGGACTATTAGTTTTGTTTTTTTTACACTACTTGGTTACATTGTGTTTTATGCTCTAGTGCAATTTTTTCTATTTTTTCTATTTATTATTAGCACTATTCATTTAGAATTATTCATTTGCATTTTTAGATTGAATTATTAGCGCAGTGTATCATTATTCACCTATTATCACTTTATTAGCACTGCAGCTTGCCCACTTTAGGAATGTATTTATTGTTAGTTCTACTACCACCTGTATCCATATACTTCACTGGATGCGAGATGAGAAACTTTCTCCTTAGAACAATCTCTGTGGACGAATTCTGGCCTTTTTGCAACTGGCCCTTGATCAGCATGTGGTCCTTGATCAGCATGGTCAGATCTTAGCACGTGTGATCTTGTTCCACAGATCACAAGTTTTCTATTCTTTGATTAAGATTACCATCCATACAGTGTACATCACTGTAACGGATCTTGGTACCCATGCTGGGTATATCTGCTAAGGTCAGAACTTTCACTCCCTATCATTCCAATCCAAAGTCTTCCATCAGGTCCAAAACACAGTCATTATAGCTTTTTCTCCCAGCCATCAGCCCTAAGCTTCATGTAGTTCTACCCAGGAACTAGTCAAAACATGGTTTAGGGTAGAAAAGAACTAACTTTATTGAGACCCAGCAAAGCATTTATACACTTCTGGATGGGTAAAAAAAAAATACAATCAAAACATTAAACAATAAAAGCAAACATCCCTCCCCAGTGCCTGGAAGTGCGGAGCCAATATCAATCTTCTGCCCTAAATGTCTTGATGGTTTGAATAGCCAAACTATGTACACAGAATGGGGTGAGAATAAACACAAACAATAACAGGTATAATGAGATTAACTGTTTTCTGAATGTCTGCAGTATGGTAATTTACTCAGCTACACTTAGTGTCGAAGTTTTGGTAATCAAATTATTGACGCAATCACACAAATCGTCAAACAGACTTTAAATAGGTGTCCAGGGCCAGAGGTAACCCCTTGTGTGCTGCTGTATTCTATATTGTCACAGTCAGTTCAGAACTGGGTGATAGGGTTTGTGAAACATTGATAATGGCTCCTAACATGGCCTCCTATGACAAGTCCACAGAGTCTCTAGTAATTAGGGAAACGTGGCACCCCATACCAGGAGGAAGAAGTAATCACAAAGGCCCCCTTGTACCCACCTCCCAAAAACAGAACCCCTTTCTAGGCCACCCCTTTCTAGGCCAAGGTCCATAGTCAGTGGGGAGGAGGCTGGTCTATAGTCCCCTCCAGGTGCCCAGGATATAAAGGCTTCCATGACAACCACTTTGCAAAAAAACAAGGTAACATCCCCAACCATGGACCAGTGAGCCTGAAATCATATATATCATTTCTTTTCTAACTTAACATTCTAAATGGCACCACGTTTTGTAATATACTGTAACATCCTCACTTGTCCTTCGGTCCAGACTCCCTGGCGACGCCATCCCCTTGTTTATGGCGTCACTCTGCTCCTCCCTCCTACCTGGCTTAAGACACCAGATTCAATTGCTCGGCATTCGTGCAAGGTGAAGACGCCGGGCAATACCTCTCTCAAACTGTCCTCACTGTAACCTGCTCACAATATTCCAAAGACTTTCCTTACTACTTACCATCCTGTGTCTGTAACAGGCTGCAGGTCTGCCTGGTTACCATCCATCCTCTGTCTGCTGACGCGCTGCAGGCCTGTTTGATTATCCCGCTTCCTGTGCTGCTGACAGGCTGAGTCCTGCTTGATTATCCATCCATCCTGTGCTGCTGACAGGCTGCATTCCTGCTCGATCATTCATCCATCCATCCATCCTGTGCTGCTTACAGGCTACAGCTCTGCTTGATCATCCCTTCATCCTGTCCTGGGGACACGCTGCAGCACTGCTTGATCATCCAGCTATCCCTATTTTCAGGCAAGCTCCTGCTCCACTGCACCTCAAGTTCTGTGCCACTCTTAAACCCAAGACTGCATAAATGCAAGTATCCTTCTTAAACGTGATTAACCATTGAATCTGGTGAGAAGTAACTCCAGACGAATTCAACATAATGTCATGAAGTGTTTAACCTCAAGTTTGTTAGTTGTGCATACAAATACGTCAATGTGACATTTCCAGAGTTTAACTATAAGAACTTGCAGTTCAGTGTACGTTGGACCCTCATGCTCCATCCGCAGCTGCGACCCATGAAATATAAAAACCACTGTTGAGCTATTAATGTTACAGTTTGCACAAACCCTTTTATAATGGATCTAGCGGCTATTGCATCTCACATGGTTGCGTTTAACCAGAGACTTGATGCACTTACACAGAATTACAAGTAGAAAACCAGACTCTTAAATCTTATATATCACAGAACGTTACAAACAGGTCTTGCCAGAATGAACAACCTGAACTTAAAATTAACCCACCTGATGTTTTTTCGGGTGATAGAAAGAAATTTAGAGAATTTATAAACACATGTAAATTGATGTTTACTCTAAAACCTAGAACTTACTCTACTGATAGAATCAAAGCGTGCACTACCATATCTTACCTCGGGGGTGAACCTAGAGCCGCGGCAAACACCTTTCTTGAAAGGGAGGATGCCATATTGGATTCATTCACCAGTTTCTGGTGAATGAATCCAATATGAAAATGCATTACGTTCACTTTTCAGTGAACGTAATGACCTGTGGAGGACTATATTGCTGAGTTCAAAAGGTCCATAGCCTTTACAAAGTTCTTCATCAGCGCCAGCTTTATATGCAACGGTGGTAACAACATTTTCTGAGAGTCAACAAGAGCTGGATTTTGAAGATTTTTATTTCCTGACTCCCAGGACTGTTGTGATGGTCAGTCTTTCTTGACATAATAAGAATCTCTGGCTCAACTGTCCCATTCACAGGAAACAGCAGTACTTTGTGTATCCAGCCTGCAGGCCAAGCAACAGGGCAACAACTTTCAAAGCACCACAGAGGTCATCCCAAGGTACTCAAGGAGCTTCATAAGGAGATAACAAAACCATTGTTCCTCATTTTTAAGGAATCGGTAATGGCTGGTAGAGTGCCAAGCGACTGGCGATGGGCAAATGTTGTACCTATATTCAAAAAAGGGTCAAAATGCCAACCGGGGAACTATAGATCAGTTAGTCTGACATGCATAGTATGTAAACTGTTAGAGGGAATTATTAAGGACTACTTAGTGGAATTCGTCTGGGATCAGGGCATAATAACTGATAACCAGCATTGATTTAGGAAGGATCGTTCCTGTCAGACCAACCTGCTGACCTTTTACGAAGAGGTAAGTGGAGATCTGAATGGAGGGAGGCCGGTGGACGTGGTTTATCTGGACGGTGGGCTAAAGTTTTGGTCTGCTGACATCGACTGCCCCGCATCAGCTGTATCCTGCTCATCGTCCTTTATCATCATCTGAGTCTAGAGAGTAGGAGAGAGAGTAGCCCAACTCTTGTCCTGATCCCCTATATACATCCAGAATATAGGTGGTATGCCTTTTTTACCACTACTGTCATACTGCATTTTTGAGATGCAAATGTAGCTTCGCCACAAATGTAGCAGAAGTTATCTGCGTTGTTTACACAGTGTCGAGGCATCTTGGCTTCTGAGGGAAAATATCACGCAACTGTTCCTTGCAAATGTTAGACAATGACACTTTCACAAGCCACCTGATGTAACTGTATGATGCGTAGATCTGACCAAGACAAATGTACCTTGCAATAAAAGAACAATAAATTACAGTTAGGTAATAATCTTTAGTCTCAACATGTTGACATGTATACAAGATACAAGTGTTGACATTCACATGTACATTACAGTATATCTAAAAAGAACTGTAAAAAAAAGTCTTACACAGGTACTTGCTGGCCTTGCACATGAGGCTTTATCTAAGCACAGAAACACTCTGAGTGTTGAATTGGTGCTAATGTATTTACTATGTTTTATTTACAGCAAAAACACCTTTATAGTCGACATGAAGTTACAATAGATGAAGATGAAACACAAACTAAGGAGATATTTCAAAGAACAATGAAGAAGCGCTTGGAGTCTTTCAAGTCAACAAAATTTGGTCGCAAGCAAGCAAAACATATAAACAAAAATTATAAAAGGGATCGAGGACAAAGAGTAAGAAACATGATTTTTTTTATTGATAAACTGCAAATAGGAGGTCAATCTTAAAATTCAATTTACAAAGAAAAAACATGCCTATAAATGACATTTCCCTGCCTGCTTGTTTTGTTTTTAACTTCATGTGGACCCCTCCCAAAAAAATTAAAAAACTATACCAGACCCTTATACTTGATAACAGTCGGGTATGGCTTTGGAAGGGGGTTCTTAGCCAAAATATAAACCAGTGTGGGGTTCTCTCCAAAATCAATACCAGACCCTTATTCTTTACAAGGGTCTGGTGTCGATTTTAATGACAAACCCGATGCAAAAATCAAAACAAAAAAAAGGGTGGGCTCCCCACAAAATCCATACCAGACTCCTATCCAGGCCTGGAAAGCAATGGGCAGCTTCCCCCTTCTGAGCCAAACCAGGCCACATTCAGTTAATACGGGAAGGGTACCTTGTTGGGGAAAGGGGGAAGGTGAATCCATCCCCCTTTTCCTGGCAAGGGGCCATATTTCATCATTAATCACTAAACCGATGACCTGCTGAAACAAAAATGCCACCAACATGATCTACTCTCATTGAGAATGACTGCTCCCCAGCCAGCAGGTGAACATAAACAGAGGGACGGGGATGCTGGCGGACATCATTGACCAAAAATGGCCATGGCCATTGATGTCAGCCAGCAGCCTTGCTTCCTTGTTTTGTTATTCGTTGCTACGGCGCCAGTGGGAGCTAGCATCCTAGCAATCAATGATGCATCCTTGGCCCTATTCAGCTGTCACCTGGGGAATCCCCCATCTATCAGCTGAATGGGGCTGTGGATCATTGGGTGCTAAGACACCGACAGCTGCTAGCATCCTAGAAACCAACAGCCATGGGCAGGATGCATTAGTAATAACATAGGTATAACTTCCCTCTGCAGCTGGTGGTTTGCCTCGGCGCTTGGGTGAACAGGCTTTATAGTTCATCCTTTCACCAAATGGCAAATTGTCCCAAACTTGAACCCCTTACCTAACAAGCATAAAGCGAAGCAGAAACTGATTAATTCATATAGTTTTAAAAAATGTTTACGCTTGGGATTTAAAATATTTTTATAATGGAATTTAAATATGGGAGTAATTATCAACCCTATGTCAGGTTGATATTAGTGACCTTAAATCCTAATGCCAGAACTTTTTTTCTTTCAGTTTTTGGATAGTATGGGGAAGAGTTACATTTTCAGTCAGGTTTTTTCTGTGATGTCAATGGAGGAATGTATTCTTGTCCATCAGTACAACAAATGGGATGTGTGGCTGTTAAAGAAAAGGAAGGACCAGATAGCAATAAAAAATATTTTCATTCTCATTTTTTAAAGGGACAAAGCCAGAGACAATTGGGCAAAGATACAGAGAACCTATAGAGCAGGGGTGCCCACAAGGTCGATCGCGATCTACCAGTCGATCGTGTAGCGATCACTGGTAGATCGCCATATAGAGGGTAGGTTAGACAATACCTTACCAACTACAAATATCAATAACTCCATATAACAGTCTCCTCTCCAAGGCACAGGGTGCATAGACAATACTATATGTAGATCAAAAGGTTCCTATATAAAAGACCACCTCTGTGCTATGTAGATGAGACTGCATTTTAACACCACATTATTTAAGATAAATATTACATCTTTATTCAACCATATAAAAATAACAACCCTAATATCCCTCCCAAACACATACATAAAATCCAAAAACATGACCACATGGTATAGTCCTTGGTTTGAACCCGTACAAATATACAAATAGACAATTTCTATGGAGTCACAAAGGCCCGCAAGCCATCCCAGTATATGTACATCGGTGTTTGCTTATGATGGACATACACAAAGTACTAGATCCACTGTCCACCCATCAATTGGAATAGTATTATCCTAGATCAGACAATATCCTCCCACCTTAGACATCCAATGTTGCCACTGCACCACAGAATATGTCCTGTTCATGTTGCGGAAATACTCCTCATAGTAATTTTTGTCATTGTATCAGTCACGTGCCGTGCCTTCTGTGCTGGGTAAGGCATCCCCCAGCCCCGCCCCATCCCGCCAAAGCCCTTAACCAAGCTGTGTGGGGAGGAGGAAGGGAGGAGACAGGGAGGGACCTTCCCTGTCCCTCAATAATGGCTCGTCACTGCTGAGGTGTCGATCGATGGCCTCAGTGGGGTTTTTTTTTTCTTTTTGATTGGACGGCTTGGACCAATTGCACTTTGCCATTGGTCCAAGCCATCCACAGAGTTCACGCCTCTAACACAGAGTAGAGGCTGTGACAGCTCTTGCCTCACCAAGTTAGGTTACACAAGCAGTGCTGACTGTAATTAAGCCGAATGCAGTGCTGCCTGTAATTAACAGACAGCGCTCCATCCATGACAGGTTACACAGCGGGGAGGTTTTCCCTGCTGTGTAACCTGTAACAAGCCACACTGAATGGAAAAAAAGCTAACACTTTTTTTCTTCATAATACTAGGTGAGGCTCTGCCTCCGCTGCCTCCCCTGACCGCACGTCCCTGCATTGTATAACAACCCAAACATGTTAACATGTAACAAGTGATCGTTCAATTATTTCACAGATTAGAGTGGTAGGTATAAAAAGTGAATTTATGAATTTAGGTATTTATGTGTTTTGGGGGGATATTAGGGTTGTTATTTTTATATGATTGAATAAAGGTGTAATATTTATCTTAAGTAACGTGGTGTTAATATGTAGTCTCGTCTACACATCACTGAGGGGGTCTTTTATATGAGAACTTTTTGATCTACATATGAGCTACTCACATTCTTACCTCCATTAATTGGGTTATACTGTTATCTACAGGAGGATCTGGACACCAACAAACAAACCAGCCTGTTATAACCCCTCTCTAACCCCATTTTTGTGCTAGTATTCTATGGTAGTACTGTATAGTATGGATGTCTTTTCTCTACTGAGAAAATTTTTTAAATTTTACTAGCTGGATCAGCATATTCTCAGCAATAGTTTTGGAGGCCATACTTGGACTCTGCTGGACTGAAGGATTGTGGGGCCTGCCTGGAATTTGATCTTCAGGAAATGGACTCTGCTTGTTTTGCTTTACAGACGTCTGTTTTCCAGGTCCAGAGCCACGGCACAACCTCTGCTGTGACCCAGTCCCTAAAGATTCATTAATGAGTAGGCCGTGTGGCCTAATTACCAGAAGATACCTTGTTTATCAGACTTGTTGAACTCTATAGTTATCCCCTTTTTATGCTGGTTCCACTGATGGGTTAAAACACAATTTCATCAATAGATGGAGTGTCGCACGTGCACACTCCACGCTGCTGCCAACATTGACCTGGTCACCTTCTATCTTTTGAACCTCTCCTGCTTCCAGCAGTAGATTCAAGAGTACTCTAAGTTGTACCTGTATTTCAGCTAAACTGTCACTGCTTGAGGTGCAACAGTCAGTGTCAAGCATGAGAGGAGCAGCCCCACTGTGTCGGATGTCTGTGGTTCATGATTCACTAAATTCCAGGGCAGTCTGCATTGTACCCTCTCAAAGGCCTGACACCAACATCCTAGAAAGGTGTCCCCTGCTTGAGCCTTTACATTCCTCCTTGGCTCCGTTGGGTGAGCTTTAACCCAGGAGGGTGTCAATGCAGCTATGCAATATGTCATAGTTACATAGTATTTGAGGTTGAAAAAAAACACAGGTCCATCGAGTTCAACCTTTGTGTGTCTGTGTTGTGTGTATATGAGTCCCTATGTGGTCTAGTATTTAAGAGTACCTGTACCCCTGTATATTACGGTCTCTTAGGATGGAATCTTGAATTGATTTTTGAACGAATCAATATTAATTGCAGATACCAATGCTTGTAGAAGAGAGTTCCAAAATCTAACTGTTCTAACTGAAAAGAAGCCCCCTGCGCAATTTGTGTTAAAATCTTTTCTTCGCCAATTTTAGGTGGTGGCTTCTAGTCCTTGTTAAGGGGTTTACAGTAAAAAGTTCAGTGTTGATGTTACCATCACCACTGAACATTTTGTACATTAAAACCATGTCCCCTCTTAATCTCCTCACTTCCAGCATGAACAAGTTTGAATTTTGCAACCTTGTCTCCTCCAGCCCCTTAATTAGCTGTGTTGCTCTTCTCTGGACTCCCTTCAGCTCAAGGACATCTTTTCTGTGGACTGGTGACAAAAACTGAACTGAATACTCAAGATGAGGCAACAGTGATCTATAAATTGGCAAAATTATTGCTTTGTCTCTACAGAACATTTCCTTTTTAATGCATGACAGTACTCTGCTAGCTTTGTTTGCTGCAGCCTGGCATTGTGTGCTGTTATTCAATCAGTGGTCAACAATGACCTCCAAATCTTTTTTCCATTTCTGACTTGCCTTGTGGAGTACCCATTAATATGTATTCTGATTGTCTGTTTTTAACCCCAAATTGCATTACTTTACATTGTTCAACATTAAACCTCATCTGCCACATAGTTGCCAACTCCCCTATTTTATTCCGGTCCTCCTGTAATGTTGTAAAGTCTATGCCGTGTCTATTACCCTCCCAATTTTAGTGACGTCTGCAAACACAGCAACACGGCTATTAACACCCTCCCAGAGGTGTAACTAGAACCTTCAGGGCCCCGGTGCAAGAAACCATGAAGGGCCCCTCCTCCAACCCCCCACCGCCATGGCACCTCATGGTTAACAGGAAGGCTGCCGAGGCTTCCCTCTCCTGGAGGGCCCTCTTCCGTGTCTCGGCGGCCACGGGGCAGGGCTAAGAGGAGAGGGTTCTCACACAGCAGAATGTGCTGCCTGGCGGTGCCTGTCCGCCAGTGCACCCTCCCCAATATCATTAATAAACAGGTTAAACCATATGGGGCACGCCACTCTCAACCTTAGACCAATGTGAAAAAGAGTAATTTATCAATACTCTCTGGACCCGTTCCTGTAGCCATTTCTCTATCCATGTACACACCTTGCCATCTATGCCCATAGATTTAAGCTTAAGCTTGTGTATTAGG